GGGTGGCCCCAAGCCAACACTCCCATTTCCCAGGACTCCTCCCCTGTGCCAGGGCAGGGAACTCGCCCCACTTTAGTACCCGGGCAGGCGGTCGTGGGGTTGGCTCAGACAAGCCCCAAGCCCTGCATGCGAGCCGGGTGTCCTCGCGGCGACATCACTTCCCAGCGGATTCTCCTAACGATGTAATTCAATTAGACGCAAATCAAGATATAAGCGATGCTTTTAATAACACAACACTGGCTCCCGACAAATTCCCTACRCAGATGGAAAAGCTTGATAGAGTTAGTGGTAACGGGATACCCCCCTCCAGAGAGATGTTGCCAACCCTCTTCCCATCAACACACCTGCCAGCGCAAAGCCGCTTGGTTATTGGCACTCCGTTACAGCGACCAAGCTGTTTTCCAAGGATTTTGTTGATGTGACAATGTCCTYGGTGACATCCAAGAAGATTTATTCTGGTCGAGACCCCACCTAATGCATCAGCAGAACCTTCTTCTCTCTTTCTATAGCAGTCTAAAGCATTCAGACCTTCTTGCCTGGGGGCTTTGCCTGATGCTCCTCCACACGCCTGGGCTGCGGAGAGAGCGGCCACTTCACGTACGACTGCCACAGACACCGACAATCCTTATGCTTATGAGTTATGATGGATGATGAAAAGAAACACCGACCTTGACACTCTTGAGTGATATGAACCCATCTCCGTTTCGCAGCCTCCTAATCACGAGCTGTAAAATGAGAGCTGCCAGTTCCAGTTAATTTTATAACTCGCTCCGCGCTGCRTCTCACAAGGGATTCCCTGTGCCTGGGGAAAACACAGAGGTCCCGAGGCCTCTGGAAACAAACACACAGAAATCCCCCTGCACTTTTAGAGGTGAAGCCTCAATCTAAGGCTGTTACCTCCTTTGCCATGTTTGCCAAAGTGCGCTGCAGTAATTCACTGCCCCTCTTCACTTTGGGAAGGAGGAGCTGCGTTGGAAGCGGAAGCGCGAGGTGCGGGCGGGAGCCCTTCCAATGAAACTGCCGGGAAGGGGCAGGCGACTCGGACAGCCTGTCTCACCCGAGCGAGCTCTGAGCACTGAGGAGCGATCCTCATGCTGGGTAGGAGCAACGCGGCAAAGCAGCAGGACGCTTGGAAGGCGAGTGTGAAATGCACAGGATGGGATGATCCCTGCTCTCCAYGGAGCAGGATGGAAGTGGTCCCAGCATCGCAGTGGGTTGCGCTCTTGCCTGGCCACAGACCTTYAGCCACTTGCAGAGACTTCCAGGATTTGCTACACTAGCTCCGGCCACCAGCACTTCTACGTTCTTCCCCAAAAGAAACGCCAGGAAATAGAGACAAGGAGCCCACACTCAGCACTGAGGGAACATTTCTGGGATCAGTTCCTAGACACCCCGACGGCAGCCGCCCATCATATCGCACAACCCAACAGTTCCTCTTCCACCAGGAGCTCCCCTGCAGAGCCAGGCTCCATCCTGGCTGCGGGATCTGCAGCTCAAGCACAAATAAACTAAATATGGGGCTCGAGGGAAGTCTTCTCCTCACTCGCTCGCCCTTGAGACTCGCATCTGTGAGAGGATGGAGACAAGACCAGCTTTGAGTCGTTAACTTTCTAGGACAAAAACTCTCCTCTCAGGACACAAGGACCAAGCTGGGCACTGCAAAACAGCAGTGAGCTGCAGTTCAGCTTGCAGATCTACCAGCCCTCGTCCTTCCTAGGATGTCCTCGTAGAAACAACCCTGCTATCCTCCTGCCGAAGAGTTGGTACTAACAGTGGTTGCTCCAGAACCTCTGAGAGCRGCAAAAAAGGCCAACTGCCCGAGGTCCCCTGCAAGCACCAGGCCCAACATCTAACTGGTTCCAGCCTCTCCTTCAGCTCCTGACTCCACAAGGAAACRTCTCAGCTGGCTTGGGAATGAGGCCCTCGAGGCACCACTTGTGTATAAGTTACACTGCCTGCCACGCCATTCTCTCTTAAAATCCTTCCRCAGGAGTATTGCAAAGGATCCTGTACCAGCCCCTTACAGGCACGGCCCCAGCCGCCTGTTCCCCACACAAACACGTGTGATGGTTGTTGGCACCCACAGCCTCCAAGCTGGGCAGGAGGCACCTTGTGAAGCCCCCAGCACAGGAAAGTAGGGCCACTACTGAAAAAAAAAAGTAAAAAAAAATCACCAAAACATCCCTAGGCTCTGTGTTCTGAACTCTGCCTTAAGGACAAGAAGATGCTCAGGTGGCAACATAATTTCCAGGGAGCTATTTCGGCTTCTCTGTTTGACAACCAACACTTTGCAGAAACTTTGGGCAGCAATTGAGAATAGCTCCCAGTGCACTCTGAATCCCCAGGAGCATTTATGAAATTACTGCACCCATCAGCATCACCAYAGGCGCGCGAGCAGAGAGGGGAGGGAGGCATCAGCGGCGCTCGGCGCACGCTGCGATGGGCCCGGCTTAACTGCAGCCCGACAGGAAAAGGCTGCAGCGGAGACCGAGCAGGGGAAGGGGCGGCTCTCGSGCGGTGAGGGTGACGCGCGCGCTGCCTTTCGGCCGAGCGTGCCTGCTCCGCGGGTGAGGGTCCCGCCGGCAGGCCGGGGCCGCGCTGTCGGCACGGCTCCCCATGGGACACGCTAACGGGACGGGCTTCCCGACAGCGAGCGCGGAGCAGACCCCAAGGAGCTGCAATCTCCAGCGCCCTAGGCCCTCCACCCGTCTTAGGAGGGGACTCTGGAGCATYGAGCACCCAGAACAGCTCCAAGGGGAGATTCCAGCTGCTTTCCATGAGCAGAAAGGTGAATCATAGAGTTTATGGAGCGCAGGCGTGCGGTGCTTCCGGAGCGCGGCGGGCTGCTCGGAGCGAGCCCCTTCAGCACRGCAGGCTGGCTGGGGCGAGCACGGCAACGAGCGAAAGCGGAGCAAGGTCCAACATGTTTACTGTGGATTGCAAGCGAAACGCAACATTTAGGTCAATGTTTCCCCCAAGGGACCATTTTTATCAGAGCAAGTGAATTTTTTTGCCGTTAATTAATCATGAAGGCGGTGGTGCAATTTGTCCGTGTGGTTTCTCTTCAGATGAGGCCAACGTTTCAAGGTGTTTGCTGCTATTTGGACCATATCACGGCACCGGGCRGCACTGACCCCCACAGCCCCGCAGTTCCACACAACGGGAACCCCAAAATTCAGGAATATGGTCCCCTCTTTGAGCACTGTTTTCTTTGAAAGTCGTTTTAAGATGATTAAAGGAAAGCCTTCAAGCAACGGCTTTGCCATAGCACACGTGAGCGCAGGAGCTCCCTGTTGGCCACTGGGCTCTGCAGTCCCTGGGCAGCGCTCACCCCTGGAGCTGCATGAGCACAACTATCCTGAACCAGCACTGATCCCAACTCCACCGGAAAAGCAGGAGCACGGGCAAAAGTATGTGACACGAGAGCTGTCTACAGGAGCGATGAAGTCCCTAGCAAGGGGAAAGTCGCCCAAGGCAGCAGCTGAGCTCCCCTGCAGGCGGGCAGCGCAGCCGGGCCGCGCTCACCCGCTGCTCCTCGTGGATACGGCACCGCTCGGAGCACGGGTGGCTGACCCGGCTCCAGCCGCAGACTCCAGTGCGCCACTTGCACGCCAAATTTCGCCCCAAATTAAACCAGTGTAGAAGACGCTCATCCCCCAAATCCCTTTGCAATGGGTTAAATTCCAACCTCGCAGAGACAAAACAGCAAGTTTTGCGTGGTCCTTTACCAGGCACGCAGAGCGGCGCSTGGCGTTGTAGCGATTCGGGACTCCGCTGCTCCCACGTGCTCAAGACGCTTTTCCCGATCTCCTTGCAAAAGCGCAAGCATCGCCCGCCATCTCTTGTTGCCTCCTCGCAGAGACGCTTGGCCAGCAGACATCCCGGGATGTGCTCTGCCTCCCACCKCTCCCCTGCGGCCCTCGGGCCCCTGGCGGCCCCGCGGCTGCTCCAGGGGAGCACTTGCCGGGAAGGTCCGTGGAGCGAGCAGGGAGCGCGGGAAGCGCGGGCTGCGGGCGGGCACCGCGGCGCGACGCCCTGCGCCACGCGGGGAGCAGCGGCTGCAGCCCCCGGCCCCGAGCCGCCTCCGGGCGCTGTCCCCGCGGGGCCGCGCACTGCGCCCCGCGAGCCCCATCCCGCGCGGCGGCGCCCGGCGGACCCGGCGCCGTCCCTCGCGCCTCCCCGTGCCCCGCGGCGCGGGGACACCCCCTGGGCAGGGCAGGCGCGGGGACAGCCCCGCCAGCCCGTGTCTATTGTTCGCCGCCTCAACGGCCCTGGTTCCGCCGCCCCTTCCGCGCTCGCCCTCCGCAGGGCTCCTCCGAGGGCCGCGCTCCGCATCCGCGCTCCGAGAGCACGGAGAGACCAGCACCGCATCCCGCTGCCCGCACCGCGCTCCGGAGCATCCCTGCGCTCCTGCAAATCCCAGCGGCACTTTTCCGCCGCCGACACTTCCCGGCTACCGCTCCCCTTGTGGGGATGTCTCCATGAAAGAGCCCTCCCGCTCCCGAGCTCGCCCCCGCCGCYTGCCCTTCCCGTCCCTTCCCTCTCCGCTCCAGTCCGATTCCACGGCCGGCGCCTCGTCCTTCCCGGGAGTSGGGAGCCGCGGGCAGGGACCGGCGGCCGCCTCGCCGCTCCCCCGGCCATTCTCCGTCGCTCCGCAACCTCCCCCGTGTCCGCAGGGGCGCCCGGGGCGCCCCGGGGCCGCGGCCAGCACCCCAGGGCGCGGAGGGGAAGGGGCGCTGACCCGCACGGCCCCTGCCGCCCGCGCACGTAGCGCACCCCCTCCTCGCTCCTCTCCCCTTCAATTTTTGCACATTTCCCTCCTTTTGGTTCCCCTTTTCCCCCAAGGCTGCTCAGCGCCCGTTCCCTCCGGGCAGCGGCACCAACAGCCCCCTCCAAAGCAGCAGAGCCGCCGGTGGGGGGGAGGCAGAGGGGCCCCTGGCCGGGGGTCCCACCCGAAACCCGCCGCGCGGAGGCCGGAGGCGGCGCGGCCGCGCACTCACCGGCGCCGAGGTGCAGGCTGAGCAGCGCGCAGCCCAGGAGCAGCAGCGGCGGCGCCGGGCCCCGCGCCGAGCCGGGCCTCCGCTCCATGATCCGGCGCGCGCACCTGCGGCGTGGGCCGCCTCGCGAGGCCTCCGCGCGCGGCCGCCCGGGCAAAGTTACATTCGGCGCCGGCGGGCTCGGGATGCTCAGCCCAGGAGCCGCGCGCCGACGGCGAAGGGTCCTCCCACCGCTGCCAGAGCGCACATGGAAAAAGACGGGCATAAAAAAATCACGGCGGCGACGAGGAGGATGAGGATGGCTATGGAAAAGCGGTCCAGCAGAGCCGGGGTCGCTCCATCTCCGTCGCCAGGCAGAAGAGGGAAAACCAGGCGGAGGGTCCCGGGAAGGGGGCGCGGATACAAAGGGGCGCCCCGGGCGGCGGCGCTGCCTCCTCCCGGCTGCGCGTGGCGGGGCGGGCGGCTGCGCCCGCGCGGCACCGGGGGCGGGCGGG